ATGAGATACATGTTGTCTCTAATTTCAAAAAGGCCCATCAGGTGTTGTCTCTCTTTTTATTTGCAGGACAGGTCAGATGTAGTGACTTTTCCTTCACCTTGAACAGAATATCATGACATGCCTCACACCACAGGACATCCAGAAATTTCACTGCAGTGGAAAGCCCCTGAATTTTGGTCAAATTTGTTTCTATCTGACATGCAAATATCTTACCAATATGTTTAGAGGAGCTACTTCTTATCTTATCTCTTTCTGGCCTCTTTTCCTAGCCACCTCTGTGACATCCAGTGGGCTTATAAACAAAGTGGCCACGATGACAGAGATAGAGAAAATGCATTGGCTCAGTGACATAGACTTTACTTAACAGGCCAGCCTGGCAACAGTCACTGCTAAGTGACTAATCTGCCGGCAGCAGAGACCAGTACTGAGTTCCAGATACGGCACCAATCCCTGGTATGATCAACCAGTTACCTGGTGGTAGGTTAGTTACACTGGACCACTTTCATCAGGAATGAGCAGTGCTTTGTTCTTACTAGAATAGACGCTTACTCTGCACATAGATTTACCTTCCCTGCTTCTGTCAGAACTTCTATCCTTAGAACTACAGAAAGCCTTATCCACCATCATGGTATTTGGCAAAACCTTGCTGTGATCAAGAAACTCACTTCAAAGCAAATGAATTATGACAGTGGGCCAAGTGGTGTCCAGATGGGACAGTCATATTTCATTTAAAGCAAGATACATTCAAAAAAGGAGTTGATGGTAGAGGGTGGTTTACTGATCATTGACTGGAATTTCCAGAGTCAACAGCAGGAGATCTTGGGAGGAAAGAAACTCTAGTAACTCAGGACATTGGAACCAATGGAAAAGAGTTGCACACATTGTGAAGAAGAGTGTGAAAGAATATGAATGATTCTAGAGGCTTGCTTACTGAGTGGAGAGGATGCAAACAAGAATGAAGTGTAGTATATATTTAGTTTTGATAGTGTATTAAAGAGACATCCTTAATTCTAATGGAATTTTCCTGTTTTTGTGATGGTTCACACCCTTGACCACAGCCTAGAAAAACTATCAATACTGAATAGAACCCTGCAACTCCAACTTATTTAAATATTCAAATAGTGAACAAAAGATCTGATCTGATTTAAAAGCTCCTCGTGTGGTTCTAATGCACAATTTGTTTTGACTACTCGTCATTAACTAATGAGACACCATCTGGAAATGAGTCCCAATGATTACGGATAGGGATTCATATTTCTCCTGGTCAGCTGGTCAGTAGCCATCTAGGGTAGGCGGAGTATAGAATAGAAAGCAGGATCAGAAGTTAAGCATGGTCCCTGTGTTTTTTTACTTGAGGGAAGAATGAATATTCTGTAATTCTAAGCAAGTTCAGTAGGTGTTTGAAATAAATAGGCTAAAAAACAAAAACAAAAACAAAAAATCTGTTTCTGATTGAGTTTTCTTACTTGAATGTCCACAAGGTTGGTGTGTTGAACAACTTCACAGTAATTCTAGGCCATTTCTCCCCTGAGACCTAATTGTTTGTGTGGTAGGTCCTTGGGTGGAAGTTTCATCAGTGAAACAACCAGAGTCTTAATAGAATTAATTTGATGAGATTTTTTTTTTACTGTTCTTAGCATGTTTTGAGATCACCAGATTAAATTAGAACAGAATCTAGATCACACTAGAGAACATATATTTGAGAACAGAAAAAATGATTACAAGATCTTAAGATTCAAGGGATTTCATAGTGATATTTAGAATATCATTAAGTGATTAGTGGTATTTATGGTATCAAATTAAAGTATCATTGTAGACAGGTGTAATTAGATTTCTGTTGTCCTTACCAGTTTTGTGACATTATGATTTAGCAACAGATTATCTCCAAAAAGTAAAATTGTAACCTCCAAACGCTTCCGGAAAAAAACATTATATAGAATAAAATCATTTAGAATGAGTGAACTTTGTTTACAGAAGAAAAAAAAAACTTGCAAATTTTTAAGAGCTTTAAAATGGACATGGATTCCCACATAAATATATGGAATATCTAGCCATAAACAGGATGTTAAGTGGGGAATTAATGACTGTACATTTTAATTTATCTCAAGGAAATGTTTCCATGATTTAACAAAATATAATTGTATAGTAAAATTAAATGAGTAAAAAAAATTAAGTTAAATTTTTTTTGTTTAACAGCTTAATGTTTTTCATTGAAGTGCATTTGATTTATTATGTTTTGTTAGTTTCAAGTGTACAGCAAAGTGTATATATATATATAGTTTTTCAGATTATTTTCCATTATACGTTATTACAAAATGTTGGATATGGTTCCCTGTGCTATACAGTAGGTAATTGTTAGTTAACTATTTTATGTACAGTAGTGTGTATATGTTAATCCCAAATTCCTAATTTATCCCTCCCCCTACTTTCTCCTTTGGTAACCATAAATTTGTTTTGTATGTCTGTTAGTCTGTTTCTGGTTTGTAAATAAGTTCATTTGTATCATTTTTTAGATTCCACTTATAAGCAATATCATGTGATATTTGTCTTTCTTTGTCAGACTTACATCACTTAGTGTGATAATCTCTGGGTTGATCCATATTGCTGCAAATGTCATTATTTCATTCTTTTTATGGCTAAGTAATATTCCATTGTATATATACACCATACATTCTTTATCTGTTCTTCTGACGATGGACATTTAGGTTGCTTCCATGTCTTGGCCATTGTAAATAGTGCTGCTACGAACATTGGGTGCATGCATCTTTTCAAATTAGAGTTTTTTCCTGGTGTATGCTCAGGAGTGGGGTTGCTGGATCATATGGTAACTCTCTTTTTAGTTTTTAGGAACCTCCATACTGTTCTCCATAGGGGCTGTACCAGTTGACATTCCCACCGACACTGTAAGCAGGACCCTTTTTCTCCACACCCTCTCCATCATTTATTATTTGTAGACATTTTGATGATGGCCATTCTAACTCTGTGTGATGTGATTCCTCATTGTTGGTTTGATTTGCAGTTCTCTAATAGTGATGTTGAGTGTGTTTTCCTGTGCCTATTGGCCATCTGTATATCTTCTTTAGAAATGTCTATTTAGATCTTCTGCTCATTTTTTGATTGGATTGTTTGGGTTTTTGTTTGTTTGTTTTGATTCTGAGCTGTATGAACTGTTTGTATGTTTTGGAAATTAATCCCTTGTTGGTCACATCATTTGCAAATATTTTCTCTCAGTCCATAGGTAGATTATCTTTCCACTTTTTTCATCATTTCCTTTGCTGTGCAAAAGCTTTTAAGTTTAATTAGGTCCCATTTGTTTATTTTTGCTTTTATTTCCATTCCTTTACGAAAAGGATCCAAAAAAAATATTGCTGCAATTTATGTCAAAGAGTAACAACTTAATTTGTTAAGAAACATGAGCTTAAATCCAAAATAATTAAGAACAGTTTTCTGAGGCCTAAAATGAACTCTTCCCAATGATTGAGTTTAATGTTTTAAAGAAGGAAACTTGCCCAAATTGGAACTTTTTAAATAAAATAATAATGACAACAAAAAGAATAAAAACAGATCGAGAACTTTTCATAAATAAATCTAAGTGACAAGATTCAGTAAGGCTTACTGATTACATTCATATTAACTATTTAACTGCATAAACTCAGAGACGCACGTTCCAACTGCCATTTCTCTCCTCTTTGCTCATTGCTATTCTTGCTCTAGTGTGTCTCTGCCCTTTGGGTCTGCCTTCAGGTATTAAAGGTTACTTGGAGAACTTTTACACTGTATTTTGAAATCATTAAACTAGAATCATAGCACTTATTTTCCTATAGTTAGTTTTTTTATATGATTGTATTTTTCAAATAAATAAAAATGTGCAACTTTAGAATAATCTTTACAGTCAAAATAAACACCTGTGACTATCTATTTCACCACTTCATACCATCCTATCCCGTTCGCCAGAAACAAACATTTCAGTTCCTCCTAGTTTTAGTCTTCACATTGCTAAATAGTGTGAGTATACTTGGATTTATCAATTTTAGACATTACTTATTTCATATCATAAGTTAACTTAATTAGTTAGCCTTTTTTCATACCACTTTTCACTCCACCATTTTCCAATATAATTATATCACAAATGGGGTTAAACTAATGTAGTAATGATAAAATCAATAGTATTTTACTATTAATGATGATGAATATTGTGTACTTAACAATGTGGTATATTTTTAATACCTTTTCCCTTTAAGTCAACTTTTTTCCTGTTTCTTTTATACAAATAAATATTGGAAATTTATGCAAATAAACAGAAGCATCAACTAAAAATGGTCCAACCAAAAATGGTCAAAGAAAAGATGTTCATCATCATTAACTGTCATGAAGAAGCAAATTGATATTAAAATGAGATAATACTATGCAACTACTAGAATGGATACAACTAAAAATAATTACAGTGTCAAATGCTGGCAAGGATGTGGCATAACCATAACATTTCTGGTGAGTGTATAAATTATTAAAGTAACTGTGGGAAACTATGTGTCACTTTCTGGTACAACTGAATATATACCTCCCCTTGGTGTAGCAATTTCACTTTTAGGTGTATTCAGGAGAATTGACTTTATATGTCTACCCACCAAAAAACATGTACAGGAAAGTAAATAAATTTATTCTTATAGCCATATATAGAAAACAATCAAAATATATCACAACAATATCACAACAATGTATAAATAAATCATTGTTTATTCACACAGTGGAATACTACATAGTACTTTAATTTTATAATTTTTAAAAAAGCTACACTTTGACTCAACAAGGTGGGTGAATCTAACAGACACAATGATGAATGAAAGAAACCAAATGCCCCCAGAAGTGTGCACTGCATGATTCTATTTATTTGAAGTTCAAAAACAGAAAACTGGGTTATGCTGTTTGTTATCTTAGTGGAGGCGATGATTTCACAGTGTGTACGTATGTCGAATCTAACCAAATTGTATAATTTAAGTATATGCAGTTTAGAACACTCAAATTATACCTCAATAAAGTTTAAATGCATAAAAAGCAATACAGGCAAAAGGTAATAAAACTCAAAATAATGATTTTTTTGCAGGAGGATATTGAGTAGGAATGAGTCCAAGGAGGCTTTCTAGAGTGTTCATAATGTCCCATAAATGTATCCGATATGTATGGTGTGTATGTATCTGTCACTTACAGGTTGAATTTTAAAGGATGAAACAATAGAAATTTGTAAGACTTGAAACATGTTGTGAGGGAAAGACATGAATCAAGAATTGCTCCTGAGGTTTTCGCCTGAATTACTGGGTGAAAGATGATGTCTTTTACTGAAACAGAGTAATGGATGAGGAGCAGATATGTGAGTGAAAGTGATGGGCGGCAGGGTATAGATTTTTTTTGTTATTTTTATTTTTTTGCAATATATTATTTTGAGGAGCCTACTAAACATCCAAGAGGATAGGATAAATAAATGGTTAATGTACGAATCTGGAGTTCAGTAGGAAGATTAAGACTAGAGATAAAGATTTAGGAGTCAAAATAGTATAAATAGTATTTAAAGCCTGAGGATTAGAAGAGCTCCCTTAGGGGGTTTTTATTCAAGGATTGACCACTGTGGCACTCCAATAGTTAAAATTCAGAAACCATAATAGGCTTTTTCGTTCAACAGAGAAGTAATAGCCAAAGATGTGGGAGAAGAATCAAGATAGGATATTCTAGAATCCAAATGGTAGATTGTTTAAAGAAGATTAAGATTCCAGTAATTCCAATTTGATACATTTGCAATTAAGGGATGCTAGCTATTAAAATAGAAACACCTTCAAATCTGGGTGGTTTTACATACTAAAAGTTTATTTCTAATTCATATATATCCAATTCGTGGTAGATAGATAGGGGGAGTGTACTCTGCCTTGCTTGTTGTTATGGTACTAAAGCTAAAAGGGCTCTGTCTTCTTCACCATTATCTTCCAAGATTACCCTGACTGACAGCTATCAGCTGGCATGTAGGAGGAGAGAAGATCAAAACACGGCAGATTTTTGCATGCCAAACCTAGAAGTGGTACATCTCACTTCTAGCTACATACCTCTGACCAGAACCTTATTATGTGGCCACAGACAACTGCAAAAGAACCTGGGAAACATGGGCTAGTGGTGAGAACATGTGGCAAATATATGGGTATGATGAGAGGCCAGCTAGTTACTGCAACAACTATCAAAACTCTCTGAGACTTAACTTCTCATTTTTCAAATACATTTTCTTTTCTTCTTTGTGTCCCTACATCTCCTGTTACATTTCTTATCATTTGCTCGATGAAATTACATGTCTGCCTATAGCAAATCTGTTTCAGGATTTTATCTTCATGGGTCTAAACGAACAAATCATCATAGAATAGAGAATCTTCTATTGGCGTGTTAATGGTGATCTAAGTTAGCACACAATTTGGCTAAGCACATCTGACATCTGTTTAGATCCTGTAGTTGGGCTTCAGCAAACCATTCTGGTAAGAAATGCTCGGTCCCATTTTATTTGATTTTGTTATAGACACACACACAGAGGGAGTGGATTCACTAGTAGAGATTCTTTGGAAGAGATAACAAAGACTTTGAAAAGAGAGAGGATAGTGTCTAAACATTTAGACCTCTGACTTTTCAATAGGCCTACTCTCATTAATTTTAGTCTTAAGAAAAAGGACAATGCCTGTTTTGTTTTGTTCTGTTTTTCATGACTGATGCAGGGGAAAGTCCAAGTAAAAGAAAATTCTAGTTTTCATTAAAGCATAACATAAGGCCAGAAAAAAACTTCACTTAGGACCAACATAATAAAGTATATATTTTTCCAATCATTGGTTCAGCAAACTGAGGAAATGCACTTAACTTCTCCATGAAGTCAGATATTAACATCTATTTCACAGGAATGTTGTTGAAGTGTAGTGATATAGACAAAATTATTTTCAACTTGAAAAGAATCAAGTTCAGAAAAGTAGCATTTCTTCCATTCTTGAATATTTTCATTACCAATTTTTCATGACCATATATACATAATTGTCTTTGTATAATTGCTAATATAAACTCCATCACCCCATTTAGCTTGGTTTATACCATAATACTGAATAATGCTGCATGTGCCTAATTCAGTTTATCTCTCTAAATGATGGAAAACACAGACATTCTGGTTGCTTCCTGTCAAAAACGGCAAAGAGTTTTTTCTTGCTGCTGAGAGCCTATTGGCTTATAGTGAGTGGCTACATGATTCTGGCCCTCACAAATTAGAATATTGGAATCTTACAGTCTTCAAGTTACTGAGTTAATAGCTGAAAAAATAGTTAGTACTTATTATCTAATTTAATTTCTACATTGAATTTATTAGAAAATATTATTTAGAAATTACTGTAATATATATTTTAATAGTCTTGCAGTTCATTAATGAAAATAATATATTTGTAAATTCTGAGTTTGCTTATATAAACATACGGCCTTTGTCCTTAGTAATCTTGGAGCACAAAATGCTGGCACACACATGTATATAAATACATATGAATATACATACATATATATACTTATAATACATAAAATATATGTATAATCTATATATAAAGTGAAATTGGGTTCCTTCTGGATATAAGCCCAGGAGTAGGATTCCTGGGTCATACAGTAAGTCTATTCCTAGTCTTTTGAGGAATCTCCACACTGTTTTCCATAGTGGCTGCACCAAACTGCATTCCCACCAGCAGTGTAGGAGGGTTCCCCTTTCTCCACAGCCTCTCCAGCATTTGTCATTTGTGGATTTTTGAATGATGGCCTTTCTGACTGGTGTGAGGTGATATCTCATTGTAGTTTTGATTTGCATTTCTCTGATAATTAGTGATATTGAGCATTTTTTTCATGTGCCTTTTGATCATTTGTATGTCTTCCTTGGAGAATTGCTTGTTTAGGTCTTCTGCCCATTTTTGGATTGGGTTGTTTATTTTTTTCTTATTGAGTCGTATGAGCTGCTTATGTATTCTGGAGATCAAGCCTTTGTCGGTTTCATTTGCAAAACTTTTCTCCCATTCCGTAGGTTGTCTTTTTGTTTTACTTATGGTTTCCTTTGCTGTGCAGAAGCTTGTAAGTTTCATTAGGTCCCATTTGTTTATTCTTGCTTTTACTTCTTCTAGGAGAAAATTTTTGATGTGTATGTCGATAATATTTTGCCTATGTTTTCCTCTAGGAGGTTCGTTGTATCTTGTCTTATGTTTAAGTCTTTGATCCATCTTGAGTTGATTTTTGTATATGGTGTAAGGGAGTGTTCTAGCTTCATTGTTTTAC